GAATAGAAATGCGTTCTTAAAATTCAAACAATTGTTCTGTGACAAAAATCTGAATATTGCGCTGAGACTGAGGTTTGTTGAATGTTACGTCTGGTCGCAATTATTGTACGGGGTAGAAACATGGACACTAAAAGCGCAAATAGTTAAAAATATTGAAGCCTTTGAACTTTGGATATACCGGAGAATGTTGAGAATCCCATGGACTGCCAGAGTCACCAATGAGGAAGTGCTGAGAAGAATGGGTCGAGTCAAAAAATTGTTGAGAACGATAAAAGTACGCAAGACTGCATACCTTGGACACATACTAAGAAATAATAAATATAGTCTTCTGCAGGTCATCACGCAGGGTAGAGTCAATGGCAAAAAGGGAATAGGTAGAAAGAGAAAGTCATGGCTGCGAAATATTCGAGACTGGACAAACATGACTGTAGACGAATTATTCCACGTTGCAAAAGACAGAGAAGCTTTTAAAAATGTGATCGCCAACCTCCGTTAATGGGGACGGCATAGGAAGAAGAAGATAACAGGTCAAGAGATTGTAATAATTAAAATTATATATGTTAGGGTGTGGCCTAGCTGTCATGTTAATTGTTTCCAAGTTTTAAAATTTAGTGTTGACATCTAACAGCTAGTTTTATTTTTGACATTAGGTTGTTTTTGTTTTTTTTAAAGGTTCACTTCTATGCATAGTTTCACTTAAAAATATATTTTTTTCATTTGTAATAATTTATTTCTGCTACAAATTATCGCCCAGTAACAATTGTAAGTTCTTGTAGTATATATATATATATATATATATATATATATATATATATATATATATATATATATATATATATATATATATTTAAAGGTTAAGAGGTTAGTCTTCGTAAGTGGGTATATTTATTTAAAAAACCCTTAAAAGGGCTACATCAAAAAAACAAACGTTTTCGGAATAACAGTCCATCATCAGGTTTAAAATCGCTTAGGTTAAAATGCCTGAGCCACCAAAATACATGGGTAAAAACCCTATAGTTATAAAAGATTATACATCTTGATGTTAAAAAACTGTGGTGTTCAGTATTAAATTAAATATAACTTCAGGTAACATACATTGTAAAAATTGAGTTCCAGAGCCGGGGAGAAAACCTCTACGCACGGAGAACAGCTGGAAACTAGAGCTTCCAGCCTTAAGCTATCTTTGCTGGAATCTATGGAAATGAACAATTTAAAAAACACAGATATAATTCTGAATGACCAACTTGAGACACACAGTTCTCCCCTCCTCAACCTATTTCATTAGAGACTATAAATTTGTAAACCCAAGCCAAAAATAGATCACTTGAGAAAGGCAATCAGCCGAAACAGCTGTAGTGATAAGATTTAAAATAAATTTTGTAGAAGTTTGAAAACAAAGTTTTCAGTGTTTTATTGTCTAATAACAGTTCATAAGTATAGTTTATCCATATATTCTTTATAACATACAAAACGGCTGCAGAAAAAATATTGTACGTAACACGATCCAAAAGTAATTTTACGAGACTCGCAGGAATCCAGGACTCGCCTACGGCTCGCCCTGGAAACTTCCTACTCGTCTCGTAAACTATCCCTTTCGGAACTTGTTACGTAAATTACTATTATCATTACTTTAGATGGAAAGAGTTATTAAATAACTCTATTAATTATGACAAACTAATTGACGAGTTTGCAGAATTAAAGTGAGAAAAACAGCAATTATATTGTTTTTTTCTTTTTTTTTTGAATCCGTTAATTAAATAGAACTACATACTATAAGCTTTGAAACCAAACCTTTTGGTTTTGTACCTTCTTTTGTTCGGTCAGGTGTAGCAGATCTTCGTTTATGATGGTGTTAGGCCAGAATATAAGGACAATTCTTCGTAGACATTTGTTAACAAAGACCTGCAGTTTGTCTGTGAGGGTGTTTGTCACTTTCCAGGTTTCACATCCGTAGAGTAGGACAGACATGACATTTGATCGGAATATTCGGATCTTTGTCCTTGTAGTATACTCGTCAGATCTTTAAACAGGGTTAAGCGTGCTGAAAGCTTATTGGGCTTTTCGTATCGTCATACGAATATCGTCTTCTGTACCTCCGTTTTCTGTTATGACACTTCAAAGATACGTAAAGTTTTCCACATTTTCAATCTGCATATTGTCGATAGTAAATAGCGTGTTGTTCCTAGTATTTATTCTCATGGACTTGGTTTTACTAATATTGATTTTCAAACCTATTTTTTTGGCTTCAGTGGAAAGTGTTTCCAATTGGTAAGCCAGATCTTGGAACCTCTGACCTAATAGGCAGATATCGTCCGCGTATTCTAGATCGCTTAGGCGTGTGGTTAGCGTCCATTGTATCCCTCTTGTGTCGGAGTCTAGTTTGAAGAGAACATAGTCTATAGCTATGTTAAAAAGAAACGGAGAAAGCACGCATCCCTGTCTAACTCCAGTAAGTACGTCGAATTTGTCACTGTTGATCCCATTGTGTGTCACGCTGCATTTCGCATCAGTATATATTGACTTTATAATAGAAATTATTTTTTGGGGATGTTTCTTAGCTCTAAAATTTTCCATACAGCAGCATGAGACAAGCTGTCAAAGGCACGTTCAAAGTCAACAAAAACCATGTATAGGGGTGTGTTTCATTTAACCGATTGTTCCATTATTACCCTCACAGTATTAATGTGGTCTATGCAGGAGGATTCTAGTCTAAAGCCTGCTTAATTAGCTTGAAACTCAACCTTGTTTGTTAATCTTTTCAGTATGATGGTCATGAAAATTTTATTTATGACAGTAAGCAAGGTTATTCCTCTCCAATTTTTGCACAGTGTGAGGTTGCCTTTTTTTGGAAGTTTGATAATGTTACCTTTTTTTCAGCCCACTGGAATGTGATTTGTTTCCTACACCTCTCGGATTATGGGGAGCAAAAGTTCAGCAGTTAGATGCGGATCAGCTTTATGTATTTCAGCAGTAATGTTATCGATTCCCGGTGACTTGTTGTTTCTCAGAGATTTGATAGATGATATTATCTCTGTTTTGGAAGGGGCCTCGCAAGAAATATGTAAGTCTATATTCTGTGGGTTTTCGACAATTTCATCTGCGTTATCTCTGGGAATACCTAGCATCTCCTGAAAATGCTCTTTCCATTTTTCTACTTGGTCATCTGTTGTAGTAAGTAATTCGCCTGTCTTGGATCTTACAATGTTTGAACAGTTGGACCCATTTTTTGTTAGTCGTCTAGTAATTTGGTAAAGCTCCCTAGTTATATTGTATTGCTCAGCTGTTTCTGCTTGTTTTACCAGTTCTTCGGTCCACCTTCTTTTGTCTCTGCTTGCTTTTCTTTTAACTGATTTATTTATTGTTTGATATTTCTGTTGTTGGTGTGCTCTTCTTTCTACAGGTATTGCTTGCACGATATCTTTTTTTCATTGTTTTCTTGCCTTGATAAGATTCCATGTTTTATCTGATATCCATTCCTTTCTGTCAAAACATCTGCGAAATCTTCCCAGCTATTTATTTCACGTTCTCTTGTTTTGAGTTGAAGTTCCTCTCTAAACATATGTCTTCGTGGGACCGTTTTTAGTTTATCTAGATTGTATGTTGGTCTCTTGGTGTTTCGCGTGATTTGGTTTTTTGCCATCTTGATTTTAATGGTACCAATTACGAGATGATGGTCAATTGCGATGTCTGCTCCTCTTTTATTACGTACATCAAGAAGAGATGATCTCCATCTTTTTTATATAGCGATGTGGTCTATTTGATTTTCTCTTGTAAGACCAGGTGCAGTCCATATTACCTTGTGAATATTTTTATGTGGAAATATCGTTCCACCAATAACTAAACTATGACTGGAACAAAAATGTATAAAGCGCTCTCCGTTTTCATTTATCACTCCTAGGCCATGTTTGCCCATTACGGTTTCTAATTTAATATTATCTTCTCCAACTTTAGCGTTCATATCGCCCATCACTATTAATACATCACCTTGGTTTACTTGTTGGGTCGTTTGTTCTAGTTGTTCTTAGAAAATGTCTTTTTCTTCGTGGAGAAATCTGTTTGTGGGAGCATAGCATTGAATCACTGTTATCTTACGGTATCTGGCATAAAATCTGACAATCATAATTCTATCATGAATGGGTTTCCATGAAATAAGGCTTTTTTTTGGCTTGTTTGCTGAGTAAAAGACCCACTCCGCTCTCGTGGTTCCCATTTTCTTTACCACTGTATAATAGGAGTGCTCCTATTTGGATATGGTGTTCACCATTGCCCAACCATTTTATTTCTGATAGACCGACAAAGCTTAATTTATACCTATTTAACTCTTTTACTGCTTGAGCTAGTTTAGAAATCTCATACAGAGTTTTAACATTCCAATAACTAAATTGTGTCCGTTTTTTCGGTGATACCAAAGTCGTCAACATGTGTTCCGTCCGGTTTGTTTCTACCAAAGTTTCAGTAATAAGGTCAAATTTAGGATGGGTAGGTTATTGGCCTTCCGTATCCGAGTCTGGTGCCGGGGCTGCCGACTGTAGCTTCCAGACAAGCCTCAGGGGGTAGTGGACCTGGAGATGGCAACGACATTTCCTCCGTGCAGGATGATAAGGTTATACCGCCTATACTCGGTCGTCAGAGCCTCGTTTGTGATAACAGGGTTCACTAACGGGAAAATGAGGTTGACTGTTGAGTAGGAGAGGCTATTTGAGACGCATCACTACCCCATTAGAACCCCATTTCAACAAATAATGTCAGAAATAATTTTTATTTTACGTATTTCCTGTTTCGCCAAGTTATGGGTTAACAGTTATTTGTTATTGATTATTAGATTATCATCAAGAAGCAGTCCTTTTTTTAATTTTTATTCCCCATATCTTAATAGTTCAAGCTAGATATCTTTATTCGTACTTAGAACATTATTTAAACTGTTCGTCATTAATTTAAAGCAGATTAGATTTAATTTTTTTAGACACCCATTGATAATAGATTAATAGTAAATTATAAAAGGAGAATATAGTTAAATATTTACACATATCTAGCACATATCGTGTTAAATTAGATCAAATAAAAAAAAATGATTATTTTTATCGCAGTTGTTTGTTTTCTTGTAATTTCTACGCAAGCACAAGTTCCTGTTAAGAAATGTCCAGATGTAACCGTAGTGGAAGATTTCAATTTAACTGCAGTAAGTTGTTTATTTTTTTTTATTTTTTAACCAACTATTTAAGTAATATCTACTGCAATATACTAAGCAATATATGATATTATAGATCTTAACCTTTCAAAAGCAAACTAACTTTCTAGTAATCTTCTAGTAACTCTATCTACAACTTTATTTCATTTCTCTATATCAGTATTACTATAACTGACTATATATTTATAGATCAATTCAATCTATTTATAGATCAATTTAACATGTTCCTGATTCTTTCTAATTCCTCCACTATTAATTGTATCCTTTATTCTGTATTCACTTCTAAATAAATTAAAAACAAAAAAAATTGTCACTTAGATATGTTATCAAAAATTAGTTTGTTATTATTGTTACCTACTTTGCATTTTTACAAGCTACTCTATACACAGAGTAATAAGTAAATAGTCTGTAAGTAAATTAACGTGAGTAGTATTACGGTAGGTCTTCTGGCCATACCTCTTCAATCTTCTTTCGGCAAGTGGTTGGGTGAATAAATTATTTATCAGTTCGTTGTTGTGATCAGTGGTGCGAGTTTTATATTTTATTAAGTGATTCTTTATTATGTCCTTAAGTAATGGTTTTAATTTGCGTTGTCCATGTAAGTTTTTCATCCAGGTGCAATCCTAAGTATTTGACAACTAGTGTTATAGGAATGGGAGTATTATTAATATAAACTTGTGGACATGTAGATTGTCTTGTTGTAAAAGTAATTTATACTGATTTGATAGCATCAACACTGATCTTCCATCGCTTAAGCCAGTTTTGTAATTCATCTAAATGATTTTGTACTTTTTGTGATGCTACATTATGGTCGATATCTACTGCCAAGATTTTCGTGTCATCGGCAAATGTAGCTAAGAAGAAATCATTTCTAGTTGGAACGTCTGCTGTAAATATCAGATACAGAAATGGAACCAAAACGCCTCTGAGGTACGCCAGATTGGTACGCTTCAATTTTGACTTCGAAGTAACGGACAGTAAGATTTTAATATAAAGTATAGTTGGTCTGTTAGGTGTAATTTTAGTTTGTAGAGGAGACTTTTATGCCATATTCTATCAAATGCCTGTTGTATATCTAGAAATACTTCAGCGCAATTATTTTTCTCTTCAAGAGTTGTTTTAATTATATTTACTATTCTGTGGCATTGTTGGATAGTTGAGTGTTAACGTCTAAATCCGAATTCGTGTTGTTGTATAATTTCGTTTATGGGAACAACTTGCTCGATTTTATGTAATAGTAGCCTTTCTAATACTTTATTGACATTATTGAGAGTAGGCTCATAGCATTTTAGCATTTTTATTTATTGTCGAACCTCTGTCGGAGTAAATGTTGACAGAGGAAGAGATTAGATTAGATTAGATTAGATTAAGAGAGGTGGCCTTTCGGCCTATTCTACTGCGACCTTTTCAGATCTATTGTGGTCCTCTAGTCCAGGTAACATTCTCTATCCTTTTTATAAAGTCTAGTAGCTTCGAGATTACCTTCCATGTAGGTATTTGCCGGTGTATTTTCTTCTCCTAATGCAAAAAACCGCACATTTGCCAGACTGTCACACTGACATAAAATGTGCTCTGCTGTTTCTTCTTCGAGATGACAGAATCTGCACAGGTCATCATTTGATAATCCCATCAGCTTCAAGTGTCTATTTAGCTTACAGTGCCCTGTTAGAAGACCTACTACGGCTTTGACTGTTTTCCTGTCTTTGATTAGTAGGTCTGCCGTAAATTTTGGCGAATGTTCTGTAATGAACTGTTTTGCCTGTTTTTATCCTGGTAAATTACTCCACCATTTCAGAGATTTGTGAACTACCCACTTCTTTGTAGCCGTTCTGGTTACTGAGTTTGCAACGCCGCAGAAGGGTTCCGGTCGAAGAAATAGCATTGATGAGCCTTGTTTTGCCATTTCATCTGCTTTTTCATTGCCCTTATGACCCTCGTACCCCGGTATCCTTCTTCTTCTTCAAGTGCCCTCTCCGCTAAGTAGTTTGGCAATCATCATTGCTATTCGTATCTTTGAAGCTGTTGCTCTAAATAATTGGTTAGATGTGCATTGGAACCATCTTAAATTGCACAGCCAAGATTTACGTCGTCTCCCCACGCTTCGTTTGCCCTGAATCTTTCCTTGGATAAGTAACTGGAGCAATAGGTATTTTTTCCTTCTTATCACATACCCCGGTATCCAGGCTACCGTAACCTTGCTACGGTCTCCTAGTTTATTTAGCGCACACACGCAATCCCATACTAGCTTAGAATTTACCTCTACAGAATTGAGTGCCTTAAGCGCTGCCTGACTATCTGTGAATATGGCAACTAAACAGAACGTTGTTTCTTGCCTTTCTATTTCTTCCACGCAGTGATGGATTGCTGTTATTTTCGCCTAGAAAACTGTCACATCCTTAGATAGACTTACCGGGAAATGTATCCCTTAATTTGTCCCTACTATACCGGCTCCAACATCCTCCGATGTTTTTGAGTGATCCGTGTACCAGGTAGCAGCAGCTTTTATGGGTACACCTTAATTCCAGTCTTCCTTGCCTGGTATCTTAATTGTGAATTTATTGTTAAAGCTATATCTCGTAGCTGTTGCATCGATAGGTTTTCCCATCACAATATCGGCTTTTAGCTCCTCGATTAGCTTTCTGTTGTCAGTACCATGCATCTGGCTTATATCTCGCTGACTATGGATTATTCTGTGCATTACTGATCTGGCTTTGCCCTGTATAAAGATATGAAGTGGTGGTAAGTTCAACAGCACTTCCAATGATGCAGTAGGAGTTGTTTTTATGGCCCTCGTAATACACATGCATGCTATCCTGTGTGTATTACCTAGCAGCCTTATTACTCCCACTTGCTGCGTCTTTGTCCATCACGTTATCGAGTCACGTTGCCGAGGTTATCATGGGTCTAATAACCCTTGTGTATAACCTAATAGAGTCATTTTGGGGTTAAGTCCCCAATTCTTACCGCACATTCTTCTACATCTGCCCGGGGACATGGTAGCTTTCTGTGTGGTTTTTAAAATGTGAGTATTCCATGTAAGCCTATGATCAAAATATACCACAAGGTATTTTGTTTCTTTGGCAAATGAAATCTCTGTTCTTCCCAGCGCCGGTGGTTTTAGATCTTGTAGTGCTGTTTTCTTGGTGAAGTTGACGATTTGTGTTTTCTGATCATTGAAAAGACTATCATGGCTCAGAAACATCCGACAATGGACAGGGCTAAATTTTGAACAGCTAATAAGAACAGCTGAAGATAGAGAAGAGTTTAAAATTGTAGTAGCCAACCTCCATTGAGGAGAGGGCACTTTAAGAAGAAGAAGATCATTGACTATCAGTCTCTCTTGTTTACACCAGTCGTCAACTATATTTAGGACTGCTTGCATTCTCACAGACACCACCTGAGCAAACCTGTCCCTGAGGACGATTGCTATATCGTCAGCATATCCTAGACAATAAAAGCCTTCTGTGGACAAATTTCTGAGATCATCTACCAAGGTTGCTTAAAGTAGAGGGGATAGAACTGCTCTTTGTGAACAGTGAATTCATCTCTGATGTACCTATCAAGAAGCCTTTCCAGCGTTTTTAATAGAAAAGAAGATAGGCTTATCGGTCTATATGACTTTGGTGTTAGGTCTGATACTTTACCTACCTTAGGAGAGTATATGACTTTAACCTTTTGCCATATTTTTGATACGACCTCCCATGCTAAACTGGCTTTGAGGAGCTTGCATAGATGTAGTATCAATACTTCTAATCACATATGCAACAGTATTGGATATATGGCATCCGTCCCTTATTTATAGCCCATCTAATTTTGTTTGGTCTTGTGATTGCTGTGGCTATTTCCCAATCTGTAGAACTTGGCCTAGTGAGCCTTTTGTCTACGTTGGTTTGCCTATCTGCATCATCCAGAATTGTTGAGCCCGGAAAGTGCGTGTTTATCAGTTCTCTAAGACTTTCCTCTTTGGTGTCCGTAAATTTGCCATTAGCTTTCTTTAGGAAACCTACTTCTTTCGTTGTAGCACCATCCTTTGCCAGGACTTTATGAATTCGAAAACATGCCCTGATAGCTATAATCTCCTTGCAAAATTCTCTCCATGAATTCCTTTTAGCTTTCCGGATTTCTTTATTGCATAACGTTATATTATACCTGTAGGCATCCCAATCTTGGTTCCTTTTGGCTTTATTAAATAGGCTTCGGACTTCCGACCTCAGCCTTTTTAAGCCGTTGTTCCACCAGACTGTATTACTGCCCGTACTTTTCCCTGTTTTTTCTGGACAGTTTTCATATTAAGCCGCCATAATAGCTTCGCTTATCGTTTCTGCCGCCGAATCTATAACATCTGGGTCTTTAAACAAGATCATATCTTCCTCGAGATTTGAACTCGCTATATCACACCCAGTTTGTATCTCTAGGATTTCTGTATTTAATTTCCGATGGGAAAATATCAAGGTCAAATCGTATATGTCTGTGACCCGAACATGAGGGTTCGTCAGACACAACCCAATTTGTTATTATATCACTTATCTTGCTTGTGCAGAGTGTTAAATCTAACACTTCTTTGCGTGACTTAGTGACAAAAGTTGGCTTGTTTCCTATATTGGATATAATCAAACCTTCAAATAAGATGAAATTCAAAATAGACTCACCCCTTGCATTGATTTTTGTGCTTCATAATATGGTGTGGTGTGCGTTGGCATCACATGCTATAATGAGCTGTAATCCTTTTTCTAGAAAATATGCAACTATGTCGCTTATAATGCTTGGTGGACACAAAGGGTCACATTAATGCCTTCCTGTTCCACTCTTCTAACTAGTGTTGCTGATGCGGGTTTTGCATGTTGAAGATTGGCCTGCAGGGGGCTTATTTCTCTCTTTATTGCGAAGAGATGGCCGGTTCTGGATCTGTGGACATTCTTTCTTCCGTGGGTCCGACATACACTTGGACGCTAGTTCTTATGAGAGTGTCAGCTCCAACCGAAGAAGGTTGTTCCTCTTCATTAACCTCCATATGTAGGGAAGTTTCCCCTATTTTACTGGAACGAGTTGCTAATGGCTTTTCATTTCGTGTTTTTGTCTTCCCTTCTTTGTGTCGGAACGTTAACCGTCCTACTCCGAAAAATGGTGACATTTTTAATTTCTGGAGTTCTTCTCGAGATTCGGAATCTATTGAGAAGGTCCATAATACCCCTTTGTTTGAAGGTTTTCTACCCCAGACTGTCCATAGATGTATTCTGAGCTCATGGTTACTTATCCTCAATCTATTAAGGATTCTTTTGGACTCAAGACGTTCTCCATGCTCGTTGTGTATGAAGACAGTGCACGAGTGCGGCTTGGGTATGTCTTTCCCCTCCACAGCCCTGAGAGATGCATTCTCCCAAGGCCTCAGGGTTGAAATCACCTCCTTTAGCCACTAAGCACTTACATATGTCGTCTGCACAGTTAAGTTCTAGGAAATGTACTCTTCAGGAAAAAAACATGTGGTCCTGCTTCCGAAATTTTGGCATACGCACCCAGGATGGCCATTTCAACTGCCTTAAGCTTGTCCACATCCATCTTGGCTTCCGCAACCTTAACTGCAGCGGCAGCTTCGTTGAGAGTCACACCGGTTTTGGCTTTTATTATATTTATTTTATAATATGTATTTATTCTATATTTATTTTTATTTTTTTTTTGAGATTCCATATTGGTCCCACGAGTAGCTAGGAAAAGACAGTCAATCCCTCGCAGAGCCCCGCTCGCGAGGGTAAGGTCTAAATACTATGGGGTGTGACCTGTTGCCCCAAAGGAACCGTTTGCGACACTGTCACCCCCGTGCGTTACAGCCTTCACCACGGTGTCTCACGGCTTGGCGTGGGGATGGTTTATCGACTATCTAGTCTAGATCCGCTGAGTTTAGTTTCAACAGGGCCACCACGTGAAGGGAGCAATCAAAGATTGATTACACATCCCCAATCATTGTTGGAGTACCTAGTGGTCTTGGGATAGTTTAAGGAGGTGAAAAGTCCTAAGACTCTCCGTGCAAAACTTGTCCCCTGAAATTTGTTCTTTTCCCGCTCAGCTTTACGCTAATTAGAAGAAGAGCGCATCCCCTGGCCCCCAGAGGAAGAGGTAGTTTACATGAAGTTTCGAGATACATTCTTATATCATCATATTCATAGTTATTAGTATCTGGTGTTGCGAATACAGTTGAAAGATGCTCTGCGAATACTGTTGTTTTTTTTGCGTTTGTACGGGCCCAGGGCATATCTATTTTTCTTAAAGGTAAATTTGTTATTGTCGGTCGTTTAATTTTTTTGTAGCTTTTCATATAGAGTGGTCTTCATGTGAGAGGTTCGAAACATAAAACTGGAACGAGTCCTTTTTTCTTCATTTAATGCTCTATTTAGTCTATGACTTATCCTGTTTAGGTACGTTTTATTTAGTGGATTTCTCTTTCGTTGCCATATACGTCGAGCTCTTCTTTTTTCTGCTACCAGTTCTCTTATATGGAGGGAGATATGGTTTTCTTGCACACTTCTTTGGCACTGTGGAGTTGCTTCCCATCCTGTTGTTTGTGAAACTGTTGTTAAATAGTCTACTGCTTTCTCTACATTTTGGTTTTCTTTTATCCTAATATTTATTCTAATCTTTGTATTTGCAGAATTTTGGAAAACATCCCACTTTGCTTCTTTAGTTGTGAGTTTGGGTAGTGGTGTTCTCCATATTATGTGTGTACTTGAAGTTATTATTAGTGTACTGTGATCTGATGTTAAATCGAAGTTTGACTCTCTTGCACTATGTATGTTAGATATCCCTTTTGTTACAGCAAAATCTACCAAATCTGGAATTTTGTTGGCATCCGTAGGCCAGTAAGTAGGTTCTCCCGTAGATAAGTATCTTAAGTTATTATGTTGGATGGTATTTATTAATGCTCGACCCTTGTGTCGTGTGTTTGGCATTCCAGTCTCCTGCTACTATGAATTTGGATCCAAGAGTTTGTATCAAATCATGCTACTCTTCACTTGAAATTGGATGTCTAGGTTGGCTGTAGACTAATAATATAGCGAGGGAGGTGTTTGTTTCGATTTTATTGAATTTTTTCCGTAATATATGGTTGGACTGCATAGTGTTTAATTTTTGATTTAATAATAACGGGAAAACCTACATGTGCTCCTTTGTCTTGATGGTTTGCACAATACACAGTATAGTAAAATAACATTTCGCTTTCCTCAAATTTTTCCTTGCATAACTTACAATAAAGAGAATTTTTGCACTTTTATAACATGTCCCGAGTACTTAAGTTTTCTTCTTTTAATAGTTAATATTCGGGACAGAAACGTGGTCACTTACACAGAACGACCAAGAACTGCTTAAATGTTTCGAGAGAAAAATTTTAAGGAAAATATATGGAGGAGTCCAAGAACAGGGTTTGTGGCGTAGACGCTACAACTTTGAGTTATACAGAAGTCTTGGGGAACCTGGCTTTATAAAATGTATTAAATTAGCACGCCTTTGATGGATAGGGCATATAATTAGACGAGATGAAGATGCAACGATCAGAAAAATTTTCGACCGAAGAGGAACAGTAGGAAGACGGGCCAGAGGAAGACCAAAACTTAGGTATAAAGATAACATAATTTTTTTTTTTGTTTAATAAAACTCCAACAGGAATCTTATGACTATTGCTATCTGATCATTCACTATGATCAATAAGCAAGTTAGTTCTATATATAAATATTACAAGAAACTTATCTAAGGTTATATTCAGCAATATTCCTTAGGCTCTAATACATTATAGTACTACTAGCTAACGTGTACACTAAGATAACATAAATAATGATCTAAAATCCATCGAAGTTAAAGCATGGAGAAAAGTTGCCAAAGGCAGGGGCGAAAGAAAGATTGTTCTGAAGAAGGCTTTGACTCATCACGAGCTGTAATGCCACTGATGATGATGTTGATAATAGTCAATATTATTCCACCTCAAAATTCCCCAAGTAATGAGTTTCTACTGATTTCAAATGAAAATTTGAAACACAAAACTCTAGAGGACATCAGGTAGCTCGAGGATCACCATCGTCATTATGATATTCGTGTTCAGCAAATATAAACACCCCCGAATAATGACTACCATCTGATTAAAAATGAAATTAACATGAAACTTCAAAAGACGAAATCCCGCTGAGTATCAGGTAGATCGAGGACTATCGTCGTTATCTTATTCGTGTTCAGCGACCTCGAAAACTCCCAAGTAACAAAATTAAACTCATTTATCTTGCTGTGTAAAATTGGTAGGTTTAGTGCTTCGTTTCCTTGCCTATATTATAAAAATTATTATTAGCCTTTTCTTTTAGTATCTAGGTGACTGGTATGAACAAGCAAGATACCCTAGTTCATTGGAAGATCGGGGAATATGTGTTTATACCAATTACGCACCTAATAAGCTAGAGGGTGACACAGATCTAGAGGATGATAATTCTGTAAAGAGCCACACCGAATTTATTAATTCAGAGTAAGTAAGATATATAAGGTTATTTTCTTGGCGCATTTTTTACAATTATAACACTGAGGAACACATTTTTTGTTGAGTTAGATCTGACACTTGTTTTTCACTAATCTGTGTCCTCTGAATCTGGGAATATCCTCAGATCTTGTCTATCGCGTCAACTTTTTAAAATACAGGGTATCCTCAAAAATCATGCATATAAAAGAACATAAAATAAAAAGTACCAAATCTACAGTTTACAAAACATTTAATGCAAGTTAAATCGAGTTAGTATAAATAAAATTGTTTAATTAGTGAAGAGTACTTACAAATTAAGACAAAAATTTGAGTTTATAGCTTTTTCTGGAGTGTTCAGTTTGTGTACATTCGCGCTTGATGCTCCAAAAATAGTCAGCCATCATATGTACGCCCCATCTACCTTGATATTGTGCTTCCATGACCTTCAAATCTTGATGGAAACGCTTACCCTGCTCATCACTCACCGCACCAAAATTGTCCTGGAAATTAGCAAGGTGGCTATGTTAAAAATGCACTTTAATGCTCATGTTGCACCCCAGCTTTTGGAAGTTATCCAAAAGTTGCTCGACAATGTCGGCGTAATTCAATGCTCGTGTATTTCCAAGAAAGTTTTTAACAATGTTTTTGAATGCCAACCACGCATTCTTTTCAATTTCTGACATTGTTACCACGAAATGTTTATCTGTAAGAAGCTGCCGAATCTGTGGACCATCAAAAAGACCGGCCTTTATCATTTTAAATGATAGGCTAGAAAATTTCGATACTGGCTGATGTATAATGTATGGATCACCAGGTCTCAGGTTTGGTCTTGACGGCCAATTCGACTGCACCCAATGTTGCGCACAAGCTCTGCTGTGCCACATACACAGAAAGCAGGGATATTTTGTGTATCCACGTTGTTGACCAAGTAAAAAGCAGACCTTTTAAGGTCAACACAAATGATCCATTGGTGCTTGTGATATTGCAACAGATCAATAACTTTCTTTATGTCGTCATATTCTTCACTCAAACAAACTGAATGGCCAATTGGAACTGAACCAAATAAATTTCCATTGTGGAGGAGAACACACTTCAAGCTCCGCTTTGAGATATCTATAAACAGTCGCCACTCAGTTGCGTTAAAGATTAAAATTCTTAATTCTTCCATTAAACCGCTTACATTATGGTAAAACACAAATCCATAATCACTTTGAAAGTATAGCAGAAATGCCCTTTCTCGTGTTCGAAAAGAGGATACCTTGGCTAACTTTTCAAGCAAGTTTTTCTAATTGAGTCGTGATGCTAAGAGCTTTGAAGCTTTTTTGGATAGTCCCAAATCTCGTGCCAAATCATTTAGCTCTTGCTGCTCGAATCCCTTACGTACAGAGTCATCTTCAGTTTCGAAATCTTCATCGTTGGAGTCGCTTTCATCTACAAAATATCCGTATTCTCCTTCTTCCAAAGAGAGAAATTCATTGAAAACTGACACGATGACTTCGGCTGAATGCGGCACTGGGCTGTATACAGCTGACGGTAAACTAGGATACTCTATCTTACATTTGTTTTTCTTGTTATATCCTGATGTTTTCACTATACAAAAGTAAAAATCACTTGAATGATTTTTGGGCTCGCGTCAAATCATAGGTATACCAAATGGAAGTTTAGCACGTGTTCCCTTGGTCCACATCCGAGGTGCCCATGCTTTATCTTGATCACCAAGTCTCACTTTAAAATAGGCAAAATATGCTTGTCTGACGTCCTTTGATTGGGAATGGTAAAACTGCCACATATATAACAAAACGAATCGGGGCTGTTTTCGCACTAAGTTCACTAAGTAGTTCTACACACTTAAGTAACGAAATACTAAATGCTGCTAACGAACACATAACGTTTCACCTCGGTATAACAGACGTAACTGAAGTGAACACGTGAAAAGTCAAGTCTAGACCAGTTGCACTTATCAGCGCGTCATTCCCCCACCAACATGCGCCCCACCCTCATAGAAAACGAACGTGACGTGATCGAAGAAAAGTAAAAACAGTTTTGAAACCAGCACGCCTAATTCTATAGAAAACAGCCAAAAAACCTAACTCAACGGAAATTACGTTTCAAATTGTTCCCCAGTGTAATCAATAATTGTAATTAACGATACTGATATTAAAATCTTATTGTTACTCCGAATGTGGACATAAAACTGTTATACTTGTATCTTCTTCTTCTTTGGGTGCCGTGTCCGTATTCAGACGTTGGCCGTCATCATGTTTACAATTTCCTGAAACCTTTCTCTGTCGGCTGCTGGGCGAAATAATTCTTCTACTATGAAACCACACCATTGTCTAATATTACGCAGCCATGAAAGTTTCTTTCGACCAATCCATCTCTTTCCTTCCACTCTTTCCCTATATTTGTATGCTCGCTATTAATTATATGGTACATAATTTTTTAATTTGTAAATGTCACTTCAGTTTAATATGTTGTTATCTTATCAATGTTGGTATTTTCCTTTTAGTGAATTCTTCATCTACTATTTCTTAAAAGATTCTGCTGCATTCTACTGAGGTATTCGCTGTCCAATTTTCTTTATTTAGTATAATAGTCCTGTCTAATTTCTCTTCCTACCATGCGATTCTTTTAATACCATTGATTAATCGGGCTCTATCTTCATGGTCCCACACATACGTACTTATGTTACATATCGGATATCTGACATCTGAGTAATTTATATGTGTATTAATGTGTGTTAATTTTTGGTTTTACATTCAGAATCTCCTTTGAGATTAAACTATCAAGAAATAGTACCGAGTGGTTATATTTATTTTCCAGGCAAGTTTTGTCAATTCCTCTTTATCGTAGACACACATCCGAAAAAAAAATGTTCAGTTACTCTAAACCTAAGGATTATAAAGAAAACAACGTCTATGTACCTTCATTTATTTAAGATTTAAACCTGTAATAGGTATGTAGATGATGTGTAGATGTTAAAGAAGGGTCGAAGGACCGAAAAAGAATAAAAGAAACAGTTTTAAACACGAATAAAGAAACCTTAATGGCTTTAAACCTTAGAAGAAAAAAATTTAACTTTAAACCCTGGAAGAAAATTTCCAAAATAAGGAAATAATATTACGTTACCATGAAACAAGCCAAATGAAAGGGGGATATCAGAAAAATAACTCATTTACGAAGAATAATGGACATTGTTAAATGAACCAGGGGAAATATTGAGAAATTGGTAAACTTACTTTATACAACTGTATCGAAAACGAAAAAGAAAGGGAAACAACCCATGAAATTGAAGATGATCACATAGTAGTCAAAATATCTACAAAGGAAGAATTAGAAAACGAAACAAAGGGACTAAAAAACAATAAAAACCCTGGAAGAAACAGAATTATTGACGGAAATGAAAAATCAGAAAGGAAAAGGCTACATAAAGAGATAAATAATCTGATTAAAGGCATATAGAAAGCAGAAAAATGCCAAGAGAGTGGGCCATAGCAAGGATATACTCAATACACAAAAAAGGTGACAAAATGAGATTTGAAAACTATAGAGGCATCTCGTTGCTGGAAGTACCTTACAAAATATTGACACAAATCATAAGGAAACAGCTAAATCAATACATGGAAATGATATTGGACGAATATCAGGCAGGATTTAGAACCAGTAGGTCAACGACAGACCAAATATTTGCGCTAAAAGAAATAAAAACTACGTGTTACGAACATAAAACAGGAGTGTATGTCCTGTTGTACAACAGATGTATGAACTAATGAAAGAGTTGGGCCTACTAAGTAAAATCGATAGGATGGTAAAACTGATTATGGATAACACAAGAAATGAAGTAGGATGAAAGGATCATAAATCAAACAATTTTGAAATAACGAAAGGATTACGACAAAAAGACCCAATATCAAAGACTCTTTTTAATCTTATAATAGAAGAAATACTTAATCAAAAAGAAGCAAAATAAATGTGCAGAAAACAATATTTAAACATGGCCATCAATATATAGCGCAGATAATCTAATGCTAATAACAACAAATGAAAAAGATTTAAAAAGATTAGTGAACAATAATATAAAAGAGGAAAAAAAACTTAGGCCTCTATAAATAAGGAAAAGACAAAATACATGATAATGGGGAAATAGATAAAGAAAAAGGAGACAATTTATCATAGAGATAAAAAAGGAGAAAATACATACATAATTAAAAGAGCTTTCGAATTTACTTACATGGGTGAGAAGCTAGGGGAAAAGAGAAATGAGACAATGGAAATAAAAGGAAACAAAAAGTAAAGAGCATTACGATCATTAATGAAATCCAAATATGTCTCAAGAAAAACAAAAATTGGTATCTACAAGACAGTTATTAGACCTCCACTACATAGGCATGCGAAAAATGGTTACTTAAAAAATCAGAAATAGACCTTTTGGAAAGATGGGAGAGAAAAATACAAAGAACAATATAAGGAGGTGCGAAAATAGATGGACGATGGAGAAGAAGAAATAATAAAGAACTTGACGAACTATATAATGAACCAAAAATAACGACGGCAATCAAAGCACAGAAAATAAGATATTTAGGATGCATTGAAAGAATGACAAAAGAAAGAATGCCGAAAATGGCACTTAAAAAAAAATTAGACAAAGAAAGAGATGGAAGGAGAGCGAATATGAAGAGTTGCAAAAAAGTAATATTCAGAATTGGAAAGAAAAAACATTGGACATAAATCAATGGAAGAAAATGGTAAGGAAATGTAAGGAAAGACTAAGAAATTTTAAATGTATTGTTACGAACATGCTTTCTGCATGGCCTATGTAACGGTTACATCTCGAAAAGGCGCCGAGAACCTTCGCGATGTATCGAGCGCTGTAGAAACCCATTTGTCAAACAACGAATTAGAGGTGGGACTAACCCAGAAGATTCTAGAATAATACTTTTTGGTATAATATATGTAACGATATTATGAGTTAGTTTAGTTGATAAGATAGTACCGAACTGTAAAGTTAT